TTTTCCGACAACCAAAAAAATATAAAATTGAATTCAAATTCTATTTACTGCTAACCAAACAAGATATTGAATTAGATTCCAATTCAAGACAGATTCCAATTCTTCAACATATTTCAATTTCTTCAAAAATATTCTATGAACCAAACGTCGCCTAAGATGTTTCCAATCATTAATTCCTCTGGTTGCCAAATTACTTCTAGATTGAGTTGTTTTAAATAACTTATAGCAAAAACAAAATACTTTATCAAGTTCTTTCAAATACACCAACCACTTTCTATCATAAGTGTCACGATTTCTTAATTTACGAACATAAAATTCACAAGAAAAATATCTACATAGTGCATCTTTTGGAAAAAAAATTATTTTCAATTTCCCTAATAAGCTATTTTTCTACAAGCAAATCTTTCATTTTTAAATCGAACTTATCCCATACTCTTGGATCAAAAATATTAATATCACTAAATTTATCAACAAAATCGTTATTTTCAAGATCATTGGAATTTTCAATAGGTTCATTAGAAGTTTCAATTGGACCTTTAGAATTATCAACAAAATCATTAGTTTCAACATCATTAGAATTTTTATCGTTATTTTCACTTCTAACAAAATACTAATTTAAAGATCCTTGTAATTTATTAGTAAGATCTTGTTCTCTTTGTTTTCGTTTTCTATTTTGAGCACCAGATGGTTGTTTTTTAGGAAACATATTTAAACTTCACAAAAAAAAAAGTCAAAAATATAGTAACAACAAAGAAGGATACAACCTAAAGTTACTTAGCAATCCGGATCCACAGCCTAAAAAAAAAATACTATCCTTTAGATTTTTAGAAATTAATCTAACAGCATATTATTCAAAAATTAAAAACACATAACTTTTTCAACATCATAATTTACATATCAGTATTTAATTTCTGATTATATACAACACATTATTTAGAATTCAGAAAACCATATCATTATTTAAAAAAAAATACATCAGTTTTTTAATATAAGAATTTTGAAATCATCATTTACATATCAGACTTTCAAAAATCAGAATTAAAAAAACTAATCACTTTAGCAAACTATATACATGTAGTCATTCAGAATCAGAAAAATCAAAATAAAAATTCACATATCAGATTTCAGATTATATAAAAACAATCAAAGTTATTTTGATCATAAATCAGAACAGTTACAAGAAATAGAAGAAAAGAATTACCTAGAAAATTAATGAAGCTTAGACTGCTTAGTGTAGTTCAGGATCAACAAGACTGCAACCTTGATTGAAATTTCACTTCTCTAGGCAGTAAGTTATATAAGAAAACTGAAATTTCATAAATTTTAATCAGTAATCACTATTAGAATTTTGGAACTTTAAGTAGGTTATGTAAGAAATTTGAAATAATAGATAAAACTTACTGGATTACAGGATTAGGACTTCAAGAGGACAAATTCAATCAATCCCAATTTGGCACCTTTGAATCTTCACTTTAACACAACATATTTACTGCAATACATAAACTATTATCACTTTACAGTAGTAAAGGTCGATTCAGAAAGAAAGAACATAGGAGAAGCTAATGAGAGAAAGGGCGAGAGAAGGCTGAAAGCTGAGGCGGACGAGAGAGGAAGAGAGAGATGACTGATGAGCGATCGATAGAGCCATGGAGTGAATATGAGATGATTTTAAATTCTAATCGAGTAGTCAACGGTCCATCTCCATTCTCCAGAAGGGACGCCCGACACCTCCTGTTCTTCATCTTCAGTTGGAGTGTGTTTATATCGAAGACAAATTGAAGAGTCACCATGCGTCTGTGCGAAATTGACAGTTGCACTAATTAGGTCTCCATCGGCTGCTGCCCACCTGCCCCTTATGTCTTTAAGTGGTTTTATTGGACTAACTGTGGCCCAATATACAATAATACTATAACAGGCTTAAAAAATTAATGCCCCACTACAACTTGATGCCTTGGGCCGTGACCTAGCTCGCCCTGGGCTTAGGTTGGCACTGGTACTTAGTAATAGGGATTTTAAGTATTGGATAAACCCATGATTTTAAGTATTGGATAAACCCATGCTCATAGAATTACTTCATGGATTTTACACAAGTAATTCTGAGATGATAATATCTTATATTCTTGAAATGAAGATATATGAGTTGTTGTTTACAAGTCGGTCGTGCATTGATAATATGTAAACACATCAGTAACTTGATGTTATAAAACGTATTGTTGTGCATGATTTAATGAGTAAATAGTGCAAGAATACAAGTCAAAGTTTATCCGTTCCTTTTGACCTAATGGGAAAAACGATATCTTTAGGCCCCTCGGTGATTTGGTGTTGACTTATAGGTGATAGGCCTAGCCAAGACTAAATTGATGTGTTCGATTAGAAGTCTTATGTCGTCATCACAAATAAGAAATCGGGAAACAAAACTTGGGAAATGAGATTGATTAGAATCCATTTCTCAGGTCCTTACGATATCTTGAAGAATGGAAGGATATTTGATCACTTATTTTAGGACACGTAATTGACTGGGTCAGAGTTCGACAACCGCTTTTGGAAGCTACAATTTCCTGATCAGTTTGGAAGTTATACTGACAATTATAGTTACAGACTTATCCAAGTGGGAGACTGTTGTATGAGATGTCTAAACCCATAACTATAATTGATATAAACTTGAATTGATTGTAGCACAATCCTTTTGGGTTGCCCTCAAACCTAACAATTGAATAGGATAACTTTTAGAGAAAGAAACTGATTTATTAATTTATTATATGGTTAATAAATTAATTATAAATCAAAATAAATAGTTTGTTAATATATTATGAGAATAATATATTAATTAGAAATGATAATATTTAATTAAGAATTAATCAGAAATTAATTGGAATTAATTTTGGGATTAATTAAAAGTTCATGGGTTGAAGTGAAATTGTTCAATAATTGAGCAAGAGGCATTCTAGAATCCTCCTATGCCTTGGGCGGTTTTAAGAGGGTTCTGGAAGATTTAGAATTATTTGGAGGATAATTAAGAAGCTAGATAATTATGAAAATGAAATAATATTATTTTATTCATTTTAGGGTTATCTAGGGTTTTCTTGTTACACTATAAATAGGACCATTGGGATATGAATTTCGTCCATGACATCTAGACCATAACTAGGATGAAATTCTCACCTCTCTCCTCTCTCTCTCTCTCTCTCCAAGCTCATTGGTTGCTAGGGTTTGAGTATAAACCATTAGAGACACGACACTTGTGGTGCTTGGTTCTAAGAGTTTTTCTAGAAGGTATTTGATTAGTTATTTACTACAATAACTAAAATGTATGTAACCCTAACTTTGTTTTGTAAATTTCGAAATTAGCATAGGGTTCCAAGTTTTTGTTGTTTAATATAATATTACTTCAATCGAGTTATGATATAGATCTTTTGGTTGCATATACCCTTAAGTGTTAAGGATTTATCCGCGTTAATATATATAAAACCCGTCAATTTGAACATTACTATTTTCTATGATAACTGGAATTCAGTTAAGTTATTTGAAAAATAATTTATAATAATAATAGTTAAAGTAACATAAAATTATAAATTAAAGTATGTTACAACACAAACAAATGATTGATAATTTAAATAATCATCATAATGAAATTAAAATATCATCAATTTTTCTTTAAAGTTAATAAATCATTACATTAGTTAATTAAAATAGATAAGAAATATAATTAATTTTATACATACGTAAAACGTGAATAGATACCATTAAATGATTCGATTTTAGTAGGTGTTATATTATCTATTGTTTAAATTAATTATAATGTTACATTAATTAAATGTCTAAATGTAATAATAACTATATTTTAGTTAATATAAATGACAAAAATATTTTTAATGATATATGATTACTAAAAGGTTAACTGTGTAATTTTATTACGCACAACGTCGATATTGGACTAGTATACAACTAACACAATGATATTTAACACTACTTAAGGAATGCCATATGTCTTACACTCGAGACAATATGTGTACTTAAGTTTAACATATATTTTTAAGACTTTTGCTGAGATTTAATATTTTACAGCAAAATTATAAGATGTTCTCCATAAACCACTTTAATTACATTTTTGCAATTAACACCATATATATATATATATATATATATATATATATATATATATATATATATATATATATATATAATAAACACCATTTAAAGTAAGGCGTATGTCTTACACCCAAGACACTCTATATACTTATGTTACTTTTTGTAACTATTGTACATAGAAAATGAGATCCAAACTTTTACTGCAAATATTAGCGATTTTTGAAATAGTAATCCTAAAAAAACAAACACAGGACAAGTTGACAACTAGAGTTTGAAGAATTTCCACCCACAGTTGTTGCGTATTGAGGACAAATACGTTGTTGGTAGTGCATATATTGTGATTCCTAATACATGAGTAAAAATAGGAATAAACACTCTTATGCCATAAACCTTTTATAAGGATCATAATGACATCATAGATGACCGTTTCTGTCCAAGTCAACAAGTGTAAACTGGAACAAAAAAACATATTAAGAGTAAAACCATACAAAATTTGCGAAGTTTTCTTGTGAGTTTAATAAGTTTACGAAAAGGAAGCAACTAGTGAAAATGGTAAAATTAAAAAGTTGAAAAAAAAATTTACAGGGTAAAACCAAAAAAAAAAAAACCCGTAAAAACGTATTTTGCATATGTCGCCAACCTATAATTCAAATAGAATTTTCAATGACCAAAACTTTAAATTCAAGATTCTACAATCTCGTGGTACGACTTTTCCTCTTGGAAACCAACTCATATCATGAAATCTAAATATTCCAATCTTTTTAATCCCATGGTTACCAATTGTTTAAAAATGATAAATAACTATTCGTTGGCACTTTGATTTTTTCTAATTCCTCCCTTGGTTTCAACCCTTCTTACCTCTCATAAGCAATAAAGTCATAAACTACTTTTAGCACATTCTTTGCCATAAATATAAAACAACAAACGATCATCTTCGCATAGAATATATGACTTTATGATTGTATGATTGTACACAGACACAATAAACAAAACTTACAAGATTTAAAAAAAAAAAAAAATCCTATATTCAAAGAACTTTACCCTTTAGACATGTGCATCCTTATACCTTAGCCACATAAATATCAACTTTAACTATATTTTTCTGGGTTCGCCAATATCAAATAACAAATCAACATCTATAACTAAATTTCATCAACCAATAAAAATCATTCCAATCACGATTTGTCCTTCAAAATTCTCCATTCCCAATTATCCATAGCCAATCCAAAGCCACACCCGCAAATATTCCACCTAGAAGAAACATTACCAAAATGTTCCCCAATGCATTTGCTTCCGGACCCTAAAAAAATCCAACAAAAATCATAAATTCCTCATAATCTTTCTTCCACACAATTATAACAATGTCATCCAAAAATGTCCTAACAAAATATATATATATATATATATATATATATATATATATATATATATATATATATATATATATATATATATATATATATATATATATATATATATATAGTACGTTGCAATTTTTTATCACAATAAAAAAAGATCAACTTTTTTTCTTTTTGTGTAATGTCTTGTCTACTCACCGTGCAACCTTTAGGAGCCACAGTCATGACACATACAGTGAGATAACCATTTGTCAATCCAAGTAACGATATAAGCATAATCATCCAACCTTGATCACCATATTTTGCAGTGAAATAAAATGCTGGAACAAATAAAAAACGTGCCAATGTAGCAATCATTAGCCATTTTCGTGACTCAATCTTAAGAAATCCGATTAGAGGAATGTATCTTGATATCAAATCCCAAGCATTGTACATTGCTATTAGAACAAGTGGGTACCTATAAAATTAAAAAAAAAAAATCATTAAATTCTATGCATTTGCTACATGGGATGTGACAAAATTTTCACCTTTTTGGACAAGAGAAAAAAAAACAAAATTACAAAGTTTTGTAATTTTGTCTAGTGTTCTCAACTTTTTGGATGGGACAACTTTTGTTACGTAGGACAAAAAATGTCAGTTTTTGTCTCCTAAAAAGTAAAAACATTCTAAATTGTAACATGAATTTACCATGAACCCAATTGGTGGTGTCCTGTATTTTCATACAAGAATCCAGGAAAAATGGAGAGAGTAAGGACATATATCAAGAACAAATCCAATGCATAATCGATGTTCTTGACGAGAAGTTGTTTAGTGCTCAATCGTTCAGGAACCTTAGCATCGATATCAGCCTACAAAAAATACCAAAAAGGTAATTAAAAAAAAAAAACATTTTCGATTTTACAAACGTTGCATAATCTAACATAAAATAAGATAATTATTACTGTTCCATTTGGTTCAGTTTGGATGCCTGCAGCTGCGAGATCTGATGAAACGGTTTTTGATCCTTCTTTTGCTGCTTTTGTGCGATAATATTTCACAATCGGTAATTTACCAAACACAAAGGCGTATAGAAGAATGCATAGAAACTCAGCGAATGTTGAGATTCCAAGGAATAAAACTGCGAAAAAAAACAAACTGAAATTAAATATCGGATATTTTACTAGAATCTTTTGGAGAAAAATATGATACATACTTGCCCCTTTTCGTAAACCATGGGGAGATTTGTCAAATGCGGCTTTTGTAATTAACCTTAAACCCGAAGTTACAATACCAGATGCTCCCAAACCCGCAAAAAATGACTTCAAGATCCGACAAAAGAGTCAACAAACATTTATTGCGAAAAGTTATTCTTGACACGATGAATTTTGAGTTAAAAAAAAATAATAATAAATAAAAATAACTTACTTGCATGAATTCTGGCTTCATGAAGGCTAAGTCTCCCACCATTCCACCTTGAACATGAGCATCGGCTACTCCAAATCCGGCAACAAAAACACATATACCGATGTAAATTCCAATTCCGCCCTTCCCTGATGTGGCTAAATCTATCTATATAAACAAGTTTAGAAGGGTGTTTTCGGAATAAAAATACAATTATTAGGTCAAAAGGCGAAAAGTTGACTTACCACAATGAGGGCTAAAGTGCATAAAAAGAATAAGATGTATCCTGCAATGTTACGTTTCCTAGTGTCGATTTTTGACTCGTTGTATGCAAGTATTGCTATTGTTCCTATTGCGAAGGGTTGGTAGACCAAGGTAAGTACTCTTGATGGATGATAATCCTATGAAATAAGAACACAAAAGATTATTATATGCGAAAAGAATTAACAATTTGTTCGCTTGACGAAAAGAAATTAAGGAAATTGAAGGATTTTGAAGACTTACTGGAAATAACTCGTAGTAGTAGTCTCCTATGGTTAACATACTATTCCATGCGACTAAAGATCCAAATCCAAGAATCCAACATACCACAATTGCAAGAAACTTCCCCTGAAAATTCAAAATATTATCGATTCTTGAATTATTCATAGTTTAAGCTGCAAAAATAAGGGAAATTGGTTCCAAAAATTGTGGAGTTTCGTAAAGATATTTGAGAAGAAACCTCAAGTTTCACTGGAGTTTCGTTTGAAGCAGCGACATTCATGACTGCCATACTGTATAAACAGAGAAAGACGAAAGATTATGATTTTCTGAACTCAAGAAGAAATTTGCAAGATTGTTTTGAGTTGGTAGATCATATGAATCTGGGATTCTTTTAAAACTGGGTTTTTGGGTTTTTCATGCCCAAAAAACCATATGAAATTGACGATAAAACAAGAATACACGATAATTCTTATATTAGGGTTCAATTAATCCTCCATTCCTGTAATCAAACAAAATAAGAGCGAGAAGAAGAGAACAAGTTACCAAGAATGGAGTCCAAAAGGGGTTTACAGTGTGCTTACGTGAGGTCAGCGAATTTGATTATGAAAGTTGGAATATATACGAAGATTGGAAAGATACACCCTTTTTACTTTTTTGGACTTGTAGTCTGAAACTGATGAGAAGAAAAAGGAATCTGTTGATGATTAATGATGGGAATCTGAAGAAATCTTTAAAAAATTATTCCAGTTGGAATTTGCCATGCCGTTGAATAATATAAATATTGATTAATGATGTGTTGATGAAATCAAAGGATTAAATGGGAAAGGAAAAGTGTAGGGTAGCCGACTCATGCCATACTTGCCGCTAAAATGGGCCGACGATTCTTTGCAGGATTGTTCAGACTTCAGATTGTGTTTATCAAGATTTCATCTCAATCCGATCTTATTTTTATTTTTCCTCTATTATGATTTATAAGAGTATATAGCTTATTTATTTGGTAGAATGTTTTTATTAAACAATTTATTTTTATAAATCATGTTTTTAATTATATAAGTTTTTTTGGAATGCTTTCTCAAAACGTAAATATCTATTAGCATCTATTTAAAATATTTAAAACCATCATAGTATAATTTGTTGTTTCTAAACATATGTTATATTATTTTTATAAAATATGTATATATAAAAATAAAAAGTTATAAAATATATATATATATATATATATATATATATATATTTTTAATATAACAAGTTAGATTAACTAGTGAAAAAAATAATCTCTAATAAATAAATTTTTTTTTTATCACATATCATATTTTTATTCATTTTGTTACATGTTATTTTTTGTGTTTATTTTAAATTAGTTTTTTTTCTACATATAATTTTATGATTTTTTTTCTATTTTATTAAACTTTATATAATATTTAAATGTAATAATTACAATAAATGTATAAGTAAATGTATGTTAATTTCATTAATTAAGTTTCCTTTTAATATCTAAATTTCTAAATTAAAGTAATTAGTTTTCTTTATTTATTTATCTAAATTATTTGTATAATTTTAAAAAAGAAAATATATTTTGATTTTTCTTTTAAATAAACTCGTGTAATGTCTTACACCTAATATATCATTATTTAGGAAGGATAAATAACGATGTTACTAAAAATCTCAAATGATTATTTCTTTTAGATTTTTTTTTTCTCTATTGATTCGTTACTTATTTTCATTTAATATCATTAGAATGAACTGTTTTATATATTTATATTGACCACTCAATATATATTAAATCGTCAATATAATATAAAATTTTAAACATTAAACCACTTCTTTTTTAAATATATTTTATTTTTATCTCCTTGGTTATATTTTGTTTTAAATGGTTTTTTTATATATTTAACTACTTAATTGTTTCTATCATAGTTTTTCATTTATGAAATGTTTATATACTAATTTCTAATGATAGCCTTAATTTACAATATTGCATATTAATATACAATATGTTTAAAAACAACTAATTAAATGAGGAGATTTTATGAACATTTTGGATACATGAAAAAAAACTATTGAAAAAGCTTAACCATTAGAGGGCTCAACTAAAAAAATATCAAAATTATTAGAATAATAAGGTGACAAAAATATTAAGTGACATGGTAGGTTTACTATTGAAGATGCTTTAAGTAGAATTGTTAAAATGTAAGGATAATTACAAAATTGATCATAAAATTTGGATGTTGGTTCAAAATGTTTTGGAGTTACACCAACGGTCCAAAACTTTCATTTTATTGTGAGTTTGATCCAAAATTTTCAATTTTTTTAAGATAGATTTGCCCTAGGTATTTTCCATTTTTCCTTTTTTTCATTACTTTACAATTTTTCTATTATGTTTTTTTATTGCAGAAAAAAAAGCCCCACTCTCTTTTCCTCTATTTTCTACTTATCTTCATTTGATTTTCACATAGAGGTAATACCACCACCAGCCGAAGTTATGAACACCACCATTAGTACCACAACCTACGACCGAAAGATTTAACGGAGCATCACCATCCTACCACCATATGTTTTCATGTGTAACACCTTCTATTCGGATCAGGAAAGCTGAAGAAATGTTATTAAATATGAGGTTAGTAACAGTGGAGGTCTATCATCAGAGATATGTTTGAAACTCGTCGCTACTATTGTCTTTGTTCAACGCATACACCAGTGTCACCCACTTCATTGACACCACCACATATAAGAAACCCTAGCTCAAGATTTCGCATTTTCAAAAACCCTAGCTCCAGTTTCTTCTATATTCATATATATCCTTCTTCGATGATGGCTACGAGCTACGAGATACTAAAACCCTAGTGTCGCCACTCCAATCGGTCGTTTAGGGTTTCCCTACTTCGTTTAGGTTTATCGTGGAGTGGAAGGCATCTGCTGTAGGGTTGGGCCTTCCGCGTGGATGTCCGAATCTAAAGTGACGCCCGCGAGCGCGAGACTTCATCGTGTCAGCTACGCTGGGAGTAGCTTGGTATGGCGGCCTGCCTTGAAGCACCTTTAGCACGACTAAGCACAACTCCTAGTCGGCTAGCCCGTGCTAGGGGCACATTATCAAGTCCCATAATCCATTAGTTATAGCATTTGCTAGGCTGGCTATAATGTTCTAGACTTAACTGCCTGTACACACGTCAAGTTGGGGTTTGAGAGACACTTCGATTTTCTGGCGTTGTGACTACCCATTATGTTAGTTAGTTACATTACCTGTCAGGGATTTTGAATATCCCGCCTTCCATTATTCCTTATAAACAAAGATATTTCCCTTATTCTACTTATACCTTTTATTTTGTTCATTCTTTCTCTCTTCTTTGACCTTCTTCTTCTACTTTCTCTTTCTACTTTCATGACGAACCAAACTAGCACTGCCCCATCTCCTACATGGTTCGAACTCTTGCGAGATACTTATGGATTTTCTCTGATGTACGGATTGGAGTTTCATGTTGCCGATTCGATAACCTTGTCACCTCCTCCTGGGAAGGTTGGCATTTATCTGAAAACCTTCGATGTTGGGTTTCATCTTCCCTTAACTGTCTTTTAGGAAGATTTGCTTTAGCAAAATGACTGCAACATTCAGATGCTCACTCTAAACGCCGTCAACAAGATGATGACATTCAAGATGATTTGTCGAGCTAATGACATCCTTCCCGGTTTCTTTGTCTTCAAGTTATTATTCCGATTCAGTGACACAGGAGACAAGTTCACATATGCCACTTGTCGCTTTGGTCACGTCGTGGTTCCCGATGGTAAAACTGTTGGATTAGTGTCTAAGTCCATAACTATTTTGGTATGTACTTGACCCGATGGTGCATGGTCCTTTTGGGTTGCCTTCACCAAAGCAACTTGATAGGATGATTTATGGAGAGTAAGGATTAAATATGATTTATTAATATATTATGGGAATAATATATTAAAGGAGAAATCATATTGTTTAATTAATATTAGTCAATAATTAATTGGTAATTAGTTTTGTGACTAAAAGAGATTAATTAAACTTAAGGGACTGGAATTGTAATTATAAGATAATTGCAATTTGGGCCATGGATTGCCTTGTATCAAGGGTTGGACGAATTCTATGGGGAAACCCATAGGGAAATCGTCCATGGGCTTGATAAAAGGAGTCTATGGGTTGCTTAGGGCTTAAGCATCCAAATTAGGGTTTCCTTGTTAGATAACCCTAATAGCCCAACTATATAAAGACCCCTTAAGGCTCAAAAACGCGGCTAAGCTTCTTGTAAGGGTTTCTACACGTTTTTGGCAGCCTCCATCCTTTCTCCTCTTCATCCTCTTGCTTATGGTGTTTGTGAGCCATTAGAGGAGTGACACTTGTGACTCTAAGCCTTCCAAAGTCAATACAAGGAGATTTGGGATTGTTATTGCTATATAACAATCAAGGTATGATCTTAAACCTAATTACATGTTAATATGATTACTTGCATGTTAGAATTAGGGTTTATAGTCTTGGATTCAAAGCATGTACAATAGAGAAACCTAGATCCAAGCATTAGGGTTTGTATGAGCACATAGGATGTCTTATGACCAAAACCCATCAAAAACTCCTAAGAATTGGCAAGACAAATGGTTGTGGATTAACCGGGAATGAGTTGGTAAAGGGCACTATTGGGCGAATAACATCTCAGATGTTACTCCTAAGTTGTTTCTCATAATTAGGCTATTGCTGACTTTCTGAAAATGATTCAAGTCATTCCCGACGAGTATTCAGAGGTTCTTCTTACCGGTGTTGGAATGTGTCACGCCTGACGTACACGAAGGAAGATGCCAATCTTCTATGCCGTTGTTGATGATAAGTGCTTTTGATCTTTCTCCCCCCCCTTTTGATTTACAGAATTATTGACTAGCAAGTAATTTTATTGCTTTGACAGGTATCGAGTCTCTAGTGTCGATGGACTATGTTATGCGGAAACGATATTGGGGGAAGTTAGAGTATCTCGAGGTTGATCTCCACGATACTCTTACACCATTGTAATGTGTCGATCGTCTGGTTGTGTTTCTAGCTCTAGTGGAACAACCGTTGAAGGTCTTATCCACGACCAGTGGCGAGCGACTTCTAGATGTTTAACCGATCATTATGGTTGCACCGCCTTTGTCCACTGATGTAACACCCGATTTCCTAGATGTGGAATTTAAAAATTTTATTCACATTATACGACCTTATCGATGAGTTGGTTGGTCCTAACTCGTCGTGTAGGAGTTGATCGGGACGCTTGGAATATGAAGTCTACTCGTCAAGTCGGAGAACCGAACTCGACGAGTTGAGTCTGTTTGATGAAACCCTAATTATTCGCGCTTGCACCCTATTTAAAGGACTTTAACTCCTTTACCCCGCCTCCCTCATCACTTTATCACCCTGACATAAACCCTAATAGAGTACCTTCCATTTGAGAGTGTTTAAAGCTAATGGTGGGTGTGTTTTGGTGCATTCCTTGAAAAAGTAGAAGGTTTGGAAGAAGGATTCTTTCGATCCGGCATCATCTCAGTGATAACAGTCATTTGAAGGTAAAAAGTCATTACATTGATCAATTTAGATCTCTCAATTAGAGAGTTTATGGCCCTTTTTAGTCTCTCCTTGAGTCATTAATGGTTGTGACTGTCACACCCCCAAATTGGAACGACAGAAACGTTCGGGGGCGGAGGACGTTATGTACAGTATCACAACAATTGAATTATAGTAATCAAAGTAACAACAACCATTGTATTAATAATATCTAGTTTTACATTATGTTCAAAACATTGCATGATTAACATCAAAACTATAACCAAGAGATAAGACGTAAAGCTATTATGCTCCATATTTATAACGTCCGAGAGGGTACCTGTCTACTAGTTATCCTGAGAATACAAGGGCTTTGAAAAAGTGTCAACATTAAAGTTAGTGAGTTCATAAGCATTTTGTTTAGG